AACCTGTTCTTCGAGAATAGTTGTTACATACCACATTTGGTATGGTATTTTCCCCCTTCAAAGCATTCAGTGTTTTCTCACACCCTCCAGGATCAAATACAGTTTTCTTTTTTGCCGGGGACGGGGGCCACAATTTATATTTGATTGCCATAATTCTCTGCAACTGCTTGATCTGTGTCTCTAGCCTCCTTTCCCACAGTCTGGGGAGGCAGTCTCTAAACCCTGTTTGCCTCACCTTTGGTCATGCTGTGCTCTGTCCACACTGCCCTCCCCTCTCCTCCTCCTCCTCTAAAAATTTCCCTTATGCCCACTTCTTAAGCTCCTTCAAGCCAGCCAATAATGGTCTTACACATCATGGAACATTTACAGCATTCAATTACTAGTAAGTGGAATTTGAGGTGTGTTTTCCCTAAGTTAAGGACTTTTTGGTTAACAAATTACAAAAACTACTCTAATTGGCTTAAGACAGTCAATTCATTAGAAGGATAGTGGGATATCCCTTTGTTACTCAAGGTCAGGAATGAAGGTGGGTCACTATCATCTGGCTTTCAAACACCATCAGAACACTCTTTCATCTTTAGCTCTGTACTTTAGTTACTACTGCTTATGACAAATCCACCTCTCTGTTTCCCAAGCCATAAAACAGTTTGCTTCTAAGATCCAAGTTTTATGTTACAGAAAAAAAAATTTCCTGAAAGATACTTTATATATATATATTCTCTAAATTCCTATGGAAGGGATGGAGTGACCTTGCTCAAGTCTGGTTTTCATGCTTAGAGGACCATATTAACCTGTGGATGGAGTTGATATCTTAGAAACATGGCAGTTACCCTGCATCCAGTAGGAATGGTAAGGGAGAAAAGGCGATTCCTGGAAAAGTGGTAATTCTAGATAGTTATCCAACCCCAATTCCACCTTTTAATGTCTAAGGACATGTAAACAAACTATTTCCTACATATCCACAATTATCACAGTTATTGAATATCACATATAAAGTTGTAAATACACTTGCCTTCACAAAGCAAAACAATTACATGTCATGACAAGACACTGCATATAGAGGACATGAGATGGAATTTATGATTTTGATGGGAGGCAGGGTGCTAAAGATAGAAGCCAGGTCCTTGCACATACTAGGCGAGCACTCTACCACTGAGCTCCATCCCCCAGCCCTCCCATCAACTTTTGGAACATGTCTTTCTCTCTCTTTTTTTTTTTAAGTTCTTTTTTTTTTAATATTTATTTTTTAGTTTTCGGCGGACACTACATCTTTGTTTGTAGGTGGTTCTGAGGATCGAACCCGGGCCGCACGCATGCCAGGCGAGCGCGCTACCACTTGAGCCACATCCCCAGCCCCATGTCTTTCTCTCTTAACTACTTATTAAATATCTCAACAGCCAATATACTTTACCATCTTGATATTTTGCCACCAAGTAGAGGTATACAGTTTGAGCTTCAAGAGATGTTAGGTAGTTAGTCACAGTGGGGCACACGTGTAATTTCAGCTGAGGCAAGGAGGATTGAAAGTTCAAAGCCAGCTTCAGCAACTTAGCAGACCAGAGGGCTGGGAATGTGGCTCAGTGGTTAAGCACCTTTGGATTCAATCCCTGATACTAAAAACAAAAAACAGGAGATGGTATGTGACTGCACAAAGACTGACAGCTCCTTAACTGTAGAGGCAAACTCTCCAGCCTGTGCCCTCTTTTCTCAGCTGATCCCAGACTTTGGGATCTGGAATGCAAATTCTCACTCCTAATGCAAATTTGGGAGGTTAGACTATTGTGATTAGAAATATCAGAAAGCAATTCTAGCAAGATATGAAATGAGGTCAATTTAATGTCAAGACAGGTAAGAGTCACAGAATCCAAGACAGGAATGCAGCTGGCATCCAGGAATGAACTGGAAACAAGGATTAAACAGTATCAGGAATGAAAATGAATGTCTCTTTTGTTTCTTCAGATGTGCTTGTTTCACTTTTTTGAATCTCTCTGCAGAAGTTTTTCTTGTTTTGCCAACTGATCCAAGTTCCATATCACAAACACATTCTTTCAGTTTTTCCCATAAAAACTTAACTGTTTCTTTTATCTTTCACATCTTGCTCATCAGAAAATTTTCTATGTGTTGCCTTCCTTTTTTTTTTTTTTTGGTACTGGAGTTTGAACTCACTGAGCCACATCCCCTTCCATGATTTAACCATTTCTCAGCACCCTTCTCTTGGATGGTCCCTTCCTGCAATAATTAAATTGGTCTCAGGGAGGTGTGCTGGTGGACACCTGTAATCCCAGAGGTTCAGGATGTTGAGACAGGAGGATTGTGAGTTCAAAGTCAGCCTCAGCAACAGTGAGGCACTAAGCAACCCAGTGAGACCCTGTCTCTAAATAAAATACAAAATAGGGCTGGGGCTGGCGCTCAGTGGTCAAGTGCCCCTGAGTTCAATCCCTGATACACAAAAATAATAATAATAACTTGGTCTTTTGTGAGTTTTAAAAAAAAAATTTTAAGTTGTGGATGATCCTTTGTTTTTATTTATTTTTATGTGATGCTGAGAATCTAATCCAATACCTCACACATGCTAGGCAAGGGCTTTACCACTGAGCCACAACCCCAGCTCTTTTTGCATTTTGGTTTTGTTTTGGTTTTCATTTTATGGTGCTAGCAATGGAACCCAGGGCCAGGCAAGTGCCTTATCACTGAGCTCCATCCCAGCCATGCTTGCTGTACCCCAAATGCTCTCCTCAGATATCTACATGACTTACTCCTCACTCCCTGCTTTAGGATCATCTGCTCCATGAATCTTTCTTGTCAAGTGTCCACTGACATTTTCTTTCTTTCTTTTTTTTTTTTTTTTTTTTTTTTGGTAGCAGGGATTGAACTCAGGGGCACTCAACCACTGAGCCACATCCCCAGCACTATTTTGTATTTTATTTAGAGACAGGGTCTCACTGAGTTGTTTAGTGCCTCAATCTCTGGAGCCTCTGGGATTACAGACATGCACCATCATGCCAGTTTTCCTCCATAGTTATCATTCTCCAATATCTTCAGTCTTTATTTTTCTCATTTATATGTCTCCCCAAATTAAAGTCCCTGAAAGCTAGAATCTTAGTCTTTGTTCACTACTATTGTGTATCCCTAGATCTGGAATAGTGCCTGGCATTCAATGATTTTTTTTTAAATGTATTAATAAACCTCCAAAAAAGATTGCTCCCTCTCTTTCCTTCTCTCTCTTTTCTTCCTCATAATAAAATACCTAGAGGCAAAAAAAGGATTGCTGACATCCCTGGGGTACAGCAAAGAGCACAGGAAGGCAGTTTACAGGAAAGCTGGGAATAAGAAGCCCCCCGGAGCTCAGGCCAGTCTCCTCCCAGTATCAGGACCCTTTCTGGTACTTCTCCTCTGGGATTAAGGCAGAAGCCCTCCTCTTATTACCGTTACTATTGCTCCCACATCCTGAGTACCGTCCCTGGTGTTTTCCATATGTGTCACCTATAAATAAATCCAGAGATATCTCGGTGTCATAGAAAGTTCAGAAAACACAGTTTGAGAATAAATGTTAGAACCAGTGTTTTACTTTAGTTCTTGAATACCTCACGAGGGATTCCTGATCTTTAGCAATTCCTTCTTTTTATCCTGTGAGCCTCCTTTGCTATTCTAAGTTCTCTGTCCAAAATGCTCCCAGAGCCTCCATTTGAGATTGTTGCTTGTTTGGTGGTTTTGCTGGGGATCAAACTCAGGGACTCATGAAGTTGCTTATCCTTCTCTCTTACACCATTCTTATCTGATCTCTAAAGTACAAAAGGTTGAGAATTCTGATCTAAATCCCAAAAGTCCAAAAGGTCTTGGAACACAGTGAAAACTGGCAGTGTCAACTCATTGACAGTTCTTTGCCTGTTGTCTGTGTGGGAAGCTGAAGTCAAGGAAACAGACACCACTTATTTCCCCTCCAGTAGTCCAGAAAGAGCATACTTTGAGGAGCCAACAGCCTTGTGTCTTTGGACCCACCAACTGGCCACAGTCCCTGCAGAATGTCCAACCAGGATCTGAGGTAAGCTGTGGTAACAGCCCATCTCAGTGTCTCCCCCTGAATAAATGAGATGATCATCCGCACCCTGCCCCAGAAACATGCACAATTCCCCCCAAAATACGCACACATACAAATATATATATACAAATATATAATACTGTTAAAATAATTTGTAATTGGGTGCATCATCTCAGATTGCAAAATTTAAATCATAGTTCTGTTTGTTTTCACAAAGTTTCCTGCTTGTCTATCTAGATTGCTTTGTGAGAAAACTCTTATTATCTACTTTATCACTTCCCAGTAATCTATCTCCAAATATTTTGCTCACATCTGCCTCTGGCTTGATAATTAACAAAATTTTACTAGGTTCCCAGGAATCTGAGAAAGCTTTATTTTCTATGTTCTATCTTTCTAAACTCCTATATTTACCCAGGATGAAGGGGCTCTATTATCTATCTTGCTTTGGCTAGAATTAGATAATCTCAAAACTTAGTTATCTGCTGATGACTAGCAGCCCTCATTTTAAGAAATGTGTGTCCTCTTATTTTTAACAATAGCTATCATTTACCAAAGCCTTAGTTTATTTAATCCTCATATAATTCCTTAGGTGAGTTTCACACAGGCTCAGAGAATTGAGGTATTTTGCTCAAGTAAACAGTCAGGAGTTGCATTGTCTGCCTGACATTAAGCTGGAAGTAAAGTTACAGTTTGAAACTTTGCCACATGTGGCTCCAAGGATGAAGAAAAGTCAGAGAATAGGTAGCAACCTTTGGTGGCAATTCCAGAGGACATGTCCCAAGGCTGAGCCAAGGCTTGCAACTCCCCTGTGAGGCTCCAGAGGGCAGAGTGGGCCTTTTTCCCACTAGCCTTTGCTGCATCCCAGCTTGGTGAGTTAGTCCAAGATGGTTCAGACCTGGTGAGTGCAGGCCTCCTGGAGGAGGAGACCGGGCGCTCTCAGATCCCTACCTGCAGCATCTCCAACTGGAGCTTGGGGGAGAGTGACAGCCAGTCAGGCTGGGGTAGGAGGCCAAGGACAGAGTCTCTAGACAAGTCCCACCAGGACTGAAGGCCTTGCAGCTGCCGTTCTATTTTTCTCTGCCCTATTCCTGCTCTCCTGTCCCCCACACCCAATCCTGGTTGCATGTGACTGTGAGCAGCCATCTTCCCTCATGTGCTTCTGTCCTCCCCGTGAGCTAGTATTGCAGCAAAACTCATCAATGGAGGTGTGGCAGGGCTTGTGGGGGTGACCTGTGTGTTCCCCATCGACTTGGCCAAGACACGACTGCAGAACCAGCATGGAAAAGACATGTACAAAGGAATGTAGGTATTGGTGGGGAGTGGTGTGGTTGGGGAGAAGGGCAATGGGCCTCATCCTTTCCAGAGTTTCTTCAGGGAGTGTGTTGATGGTGGAGGGATTTGGGGAGCATGGTTAACTGGGGTGTGCCCAGAAAGATCAGGGCTTGGGGAAAGATTGGGTTTTGGGGAGAGGTTTGCAAATGTGCCTCATCCTGTCCATGAGGAAGCAGCCTCCTGGGCACCACTAATTTCCTCTTCTGGCCTCTGCTTCTAGGATAGATTGCCTGATGAAGACAGCACGTGCAGAGGGCTTCTTGGGCATGTACAGAGGTGAGTTTATCAGGCATCCCAGAGGAGACCTGACTTGGCATGGTGAGGACAGTGGGTGTGACATAGAGGCCCCAGCCTTGTGAGTTTATAGCACCCTGGGCATGGATGTTCCTTCCAGGGAGCTGTTGGAACAGCTTGGGCTATCAGATGATGCTGGACTACATTAACTTTTCATGAGCCTTTGATAAGCTCTTTGACAGAGGTGGAGATAACTGTTTCCTGTTAAGGCTTTCTGGGGGACTAGTGAGCCACTGTGGAACCCAGAAGCCCCAGGTTCCATCCATTCCCTAAGCAAGTGAGCCTTAACCTGCCTCCCTCCCACCTCCCTTGCCCTCTGTGTCCCTACAGAGCTGATAGGACATCCAACTACTAGTAGCAGAAAGGGAGAGGCTGAAAGGAACAGAGTGAAAAGGACTTCGAGCTCTTCCCTAGCATGATCCTACACTGCTGCTGCTGTTGTCCTCTTCAGTAGCACCATTGGAAAACAGGTCCTAGGCAAGGTTGTTTTATTTTGATGTCATGTTTTTGTACTGGTGATTGAACCCAGGCACATAACCACTGAGTCACATCCCCAGCCATTTTTTTTTTTTTTTCTTTTGCAACAGAGTCTTCCTAAGTTGCTTAAAGCCTTGCTCATTTGGTAAGGCTGGCCTTGAACTTGCAATCCTCCTGCCTCAGCCTCTTCTGAGCTGCTGGGATCACAGACATACATCGCCATGCCTGGCTCCCTATACTAGTTTTGAGAAAGAGCTGATGTGTCGTTATCCTTGAGCAATAAAATAAAATAAAATCTGTGTGAACCATGCTGGGTCTGGGCTAGTGTCATACAGAGTAATGGAAACCCAGTCCCTGTTACTTGCCCGGGACTAATGAGTACTTATTTATCCTCAAAGGTGGAAAACACCAGCAAGGGCAAAAATAATATTTTTTTTATTGATAGACCTTTATTTATTTATATTCAGTGCTGAGAATTGAACCCAGAGCCTTACACATGCCAGGCAAGTGCACAACTGCTAAGCCACAGCCCCAGCCCCAAGGTGATTTTTTGATAACTGGATGTGTGTCCATAAAGGAAACAAATGTATTAGAAAGAAGAAAATGTAGAGAGGAAATGAAAGTAAATTTGCTTAAATAAAATAGGCCAAGTGTCCCTGCTTGGCTCGTCACACCCCCAAAGCTTTGCCTTCCCAGCCTGTGTGTGTTGTCTGTGAGAGGGAGCCTCTGGAAATTGTCACTTTTGGGACAGTCATAGTTGCTCATCTTTGTTTTTCATCTCCAGGGGCTGCAGTAAACCTCACCTTAGTCACTCCAGAGAAGGCCATCAAACTGGCAGCCAATGATTTCTTCCGGCAGCTGCTCATGAAAGATGGGTATGGCCAAATGGAGTCAGGGACAAAGATCTTTCACCTTGTCTTGGGGAGTGTGTCTCAGTTTACCTGTCAGCACATATTTAAGTATGTGTGCACATATGGCTAAGGGTTGGTGTGTTTTGGCAGATGGAAAGTAGGGAAATAAATGAACTGGTATAATTTGGAAGAGAGAGGTAGGAAATCTATCGAGAAAGAATATAAAACATGTGGAGTATGTTTGCAGATATATTTACCAACCAGCTGATGAATTTTTAAATCGGCCCAGAGACACTTTCTATTTCTGTCCTCCCATTGCCCTAGAGATAGTACATATGGGATCAGGGAGAATCAGATACCTGCTCTAGGACTGAGATATGTTCAGTGGTAAAGCGCTCCTGGGCTCAATCTCCAGTGCCAAAAAACAAACAAAATGAAGAATCCTGACCTAGGTACTTTCATTATTACTGGTTTCAACTCCTATCCAGGTGTTGTCTCCCTAGCAGTCTGTGCTATAAATTTAGCCTCAAGTGTTTAAGGAGACTGAACCTTAGGCCCAGGTGACTATTTTCCCAGCGAGGTGGGTGGCAGCAAATGGTGACAAAGACAGGTACCATTCATGGAAAGGTTTCCTCCCCCACTGCAGAGGGAAGGTAGTAGATAAGCCAAGGTGGTATGGCAGTTCTGCCCTGAGTCTGAAGAGCTGACTCCTGCTCCCATAGAATGCAGCGGAACCTGAAGATGGAGATGCTGGCTGGCTGTGGGGCTGGCATGTGCCAAGTGGTGGTTACCTGCCCCATGGAAATGCTCAAGATTCAGCTGCAGGATGCTGGACGCTTAGGTGAGGCCTATTTCAACTCCACATGTGCTTAGTAAAAGCCAGAATCAGAATGGCTCACATCTGTCATCCCACTTTCACCTGCTAGACTGAGAGTCAGCTTTCCAGGTCAATAGTAGCTTTTACTTCATGGTTATCCCTTTCAACATTTCCAGCTCAGAACAAATAGCAGAAATGAGAACCTTGATGCAGGAGAGACTTAGCGTCTCAACTCTAATACTTCTCTTCTATTGCCTTGGCATTTAGGCTGGATTTCCTAAAGATTTTTAAAAATGCCAATAACCCGCTTATTCAACACTTTGGGAAATATGTATTTTATACTGTAGAAGCTGGCTTTTAATGGCAAGGCATAAAAAGAGAATAGAACCATTCCTATTCTTATGCTGTTTCCTGACAGAGAAATTTGGCCCTTTCCTAAATCCTGGGCCTTTCAGAAATAGAGTGGTATAAATTTTAACACATGTGGTAAGGACCAATGTTTGTCCATTTATGGAAGGGGGGTCAACCCTAAGGGAAGTGACGGGGGCCTCTTTCCTTAGGATCAAACCACAGGGTCTGAATAAAATAAGCTAATATGTAACATACCACACACACCATCTGTAAAGGGATACACAGTTCTCAATATTCATGGATGCCATTTCCCACTCCCCTCAATTCAGCTGTGTATACCTTCTATGCTAGAATTCAATCAGATTTTAGATTGGATGAAACCAGCATAAAGTAAATGCAATTGCAGAAATGGTAAGGGTCACCTTAGTTTTTCAATATGGATGAGAAGTTCTAGTATTGATAAAACATTTCAAACAAAATAGAAGGTAGGATATAAATGTGTGCACCTAAAGATGATAATGAGGAAAATATTGCTTGTATTGACTAACTTCTTAAAGCTAATTGTTTGAAGCTACATCTAGATTACTACTTCAAGAAAATCTTTGCAAAATAACTAGCTTCTAAGTATGAAATACTGCTCTTCTGGATACAAAGCAAAATAGGGACATGACATTGGGAATAATTTCCCTTTAGCAAGGATTTATAATCTAAGCAAAACTTTTAAAAAATTTTTTTTGGAGCTGTAGATGGACAGCATGCTTTATTTTACTTTTTCTTTTCTTTCTTTTTTTTTTTTCAGTATCAGAGATTGAACTCAGGGACACTTGACCACTGAGCCACATCCCCAGTCATATTTTGTATTTTATTTAAAGACAGGATCTCACTGAGTTGCTTAGCACCTCACTTTTTGCTGAGGCTGGCTTTGAACTAACAGTCCCGCTATCTCAGCTCCCAAGCCACTGGGATTACAGGTGTGTGCCACTGCATCTGGCTATTTAATTTCTTTAAGTGGTGCTGAGGATCAAACCCAGTGTCTCATATGTGCTAGGCAAGTGCTCTGCCACTGAGCTACAGCCCCAGCCTTGTAAGCAACACTTTTTAAACACTGAATTTGGTGAGATTTGTTGTCATTGTGTTGCATTACCAGAGATCAAATCCCAGGGCATCAGGCATGCTAAGCAAACTCTACCTATAGTCTTTGTTTTGTTTTTTGAAATGAGATTTCAATGGCCTCAAATTCCTGGGCTCAAGTGATCCTTCTATCTCAGCCACCCAACTACCTGAGTCCACAGGTATGACCACCATTCTTTTTTTTTTTTTTTTTTTTTAAAGAAAGAGTGGGAGGGAGAGAGAGAGAGAGAGAGAGAGAGTGAGTTTTTTTAATATTTATTTTTTAGTTCTCGGCGGACACAACATCTTTGTTTGTATGTGGTGCTGAGGATCAAACCCGGGCCGCACGCATGCCAGGCGAGCGCGCTACCGCTTGAGCCACATCCCCAGCCCATGACCACCATTCTTTACAAACACTATGTCTTAAAATATTCACACACTATCCATACACTGAATTTTGTGGTGACTAGTAGGACTCATCCACTATTAAGTGCCTATATTTTATATGGTCAGGAAAAAAATTTCTAATTATTAGATGTTAAACTCATCAAATGACAGACTCAAATACTCAACTAAAATGGGTTGACATCTACAAAATCAATTTCTATAAAATGGGGAAAGGTAAATGACATGTTCATATAATCCTGGAGTACTAGAGGGAGGAGGCACCTCTGGAAAACTGGAGGAGATAAGTTTTAGATAAATAAAAAGATTTGTGGTTTACTACATTATGCAGAACCAAAATGGGATTCCTTTGTCCCAAAGTGCCAATAGAGTGAAACTATCAAAAAGGGTTCAAGTAGAAAACAGAGCTGGGAGCAGTGATACACTATTGTAATTCAGCAGCTTGGGAGCCTGAGGCAGGAGTATCAGAAGTTCAAGGCCAGCTCAGAAACTTAGGGAGACCCTGTCTGAAAAAATTTTAAAAATATTTAGTTATAGATGGATACAATATCTTTATTTTGTTTTATTTATTTTTATGTGGTGCTGAGGATCGAACCCAGTTCCTCACATGTGCGAGGCAGGAGCTCTGTCACTGAGCCACAACCCCAGCCCCTGTCTCAAAATTTTTTTTTTTTTTTAAGAGAGCGAGAGAGAGAGAGAATTTTTTTTTTTTTAATATTTATTTTTTAGTTATCGGTGGACACAACATCTTTGTTTGTATGTGGTGCTGAGGATCGAACCCGGGCCGCACGCATGCCAGGCAAGCGCGCTACCGCTTGAGCCACATCCCCAGCCCCTCAAAATTTTTAAAAACTTGAATTTCTAGTTTCCTGTACAGAAGACTGGGTAGGTAATGACTGTGATTCTGTGAAGAAGCCTACAAAGAGGCATAACTTGCTAGATAATACAGACTTTAGAAAACTTTCCTTGGAGCCTGATGCAGTGGCACATACCTGTATTCCCAGCAACTTGGGAGGCTGAGGTAGGAGGATTCCGAGTTCAGAGCCAGCCTCAGCAACTTAGCGAGGTACTAAGCAATTCAGTGAGACCCTGTCTCTAAATAAAAAAAAAAATAGAGCTGGGGATGCGGCTCACTGGTCGAGTGTCCCTGAGTTAAACCCCAGTTTCCCCCTCTTCCCAAAGAAGAAAACTTTCCTTGGAGCCCAAAATTAATGCTGTAAAATTGAGACAAACTTCAGGATTCTAGTTGAAGCATTGGCTTTGTACCCTGAGTTGTCCCAGGGCTGTGTATTCTGAGCCACACCTTGGTCAAGTGTTTTGCAGTGCCTGCTGGGACTTGGGTTGAGACAGAGGCTGTCCTTTCCTTTCCAGCTGCCCCTCATCAGAGCTCGACCTCGGCACCTTCCTCCTCCAGGTCCTATACTACTGGTTCTGCTTCCACTCACAAACGCCCATCCGCCACTCTCATTGCCTGGGAGCTACTCCGCACTCAGGGCCTGGCTGGTCTCTATAAAGGCCTGGGTGCCACTCTCCTCAGGTGAGCCCTTCTTCTTCGACTTGGGCACAGCAGTTCAAGGGGAGGGCCACAGGCACTGCCACCTTTGTCTTCTTCCCAGAATATTTAATCCCAAATTGGCAAATTCTTTGCCATGCTTCCTGCTGTCATAATCAGTTACATCAAAAGGGCACCTGAAGACTGAAGCCCTTCTTCAGTTAGGAGGTCCACATGAGCCCTAGATGTATCCCTTTATCTAACTGTGCTATTTGGCTTTTCTCTTCCCTACCTACTCCCTTTTGTAGAATTTGTTACCCATCTTTCATTCTGCATCTGGCTCCTCATCCATAGGCTGCAGGTGCAGGTAGCACAGAGTAATGAGCTGGGGGTGGAGAAAGGCAAACAATTATTTTCTCTCATGCAGATCCTTGCCCTAGATTATCTAGGGGTGCAAAGTTAAGAGTCAGTAATAGTAGCTTCTCTCTGATCCATCTGACTCATCTCTGAGCCGTGTAGCTCACAGAGAAGTCTTGCTGCATGGCCTTCTGTGGAAAGAAACCTCAGAGCTGTGTGGAGCCCAGTGTTTCTTTTTCCTCTAATACAGAGATATTCCATTCTCCATCATCTACTTCCCAATGTTTGCCAACCTGAACAACCTTGGGGTCCATGAGCTTACTGGGAAGGCCTCCTTTGCTCATTCCTTCATGTCAGGCTGCATTGCAGGTTCCCTGGCTGCCGTTGCAGTCACACCCCTGGATGGTAAGTATGGGAGAATTTGAGCTCAGTATTGGGGTTCAAGGCTTGATCTGCTTTACAAATGAGGCTTCTCTATAGCCATTTAGGAAGGCAAACAATATTTTTGCTCTTGTTGATTTTTGAGCCACAACCTGTGGCCACTGGCATGTGCTCACCAAAGGACCTCACAGAGATGTGGGTTCAAAGTGAACATCACTATTGCTTATTTATTACTGACAAACCCTCACCTTCTAGATGTTAATTTCTTTTATCTTTTTGTCCCCCAATGGAGTCCTGAACATTGCTGACATTTAAAAAATTTTGAGCAGGAGGCAGAGCTGAGTGAGGAGACCTTGATTCCTATCACCAGGATTGCAGCTGGCCCCCCTCTTCCACACAAGTGGGTTTTCTACACCACAAATAGCCTGAAGGATCCAGTGCTGGAATTTCATTCATTGTGTAAATGAGGCCTGAAGCAGGGAGCAGTGGTGATTGCCTGTAATCCCCGAGACTCAGGAGGCTGAGGCAGGAGGATCACAAGTTCAAATCTAGCCCTAAGCAATTCAGTGAGACCCTGTCTCTAATAAAATAAAAAAAGGGCTGAGGATGTGGCTTAGTGGTTAAACACCCCTGAGTTCAATCCCTGTTATTAAAAAAAAAAAAAAAAAAGAGGCCTGAAGAGGAAGCTGTATTATAGATATAGATCACACAGGGGCAGAACTGGCTTCATAGTTTAGTCTTATGTGTACTCATTCTAAAAGGGAACCCTATCACTTCAGGTTGTGAAGGACACCAAAATCAAGATGTTCATTACTTATTTTAATTTCTTCTCAATTTAGTTCTGAAAACTCGAATCCAAACCCTCAAGAAAGGCCTGGGGGAGGATGTCTACAGTGGGATCATGGATTGTGCCAGGTGAGACCAGCAGCCCTTCAGTCACTGCACCTGGTCTGGAGACTCATTTTATTGCTTAGCTCTGGGTTTCTTTGAATCTGACCCTTTCCCTCATCTCTCAAAAGAAAATAGTGTATACTGGCAACTTTTTTCTTCTTCCTTGCATCCTTATCACATCTCTCCCCCGGCCTATTTTCTTGGTCCTTGACCCCAACATTGACTACATTCCATGGACAAGGTTTGGCTCCCTCACACTTGGAATCTTGATATTGCTGTAGAGTGACACCTATTCTCAAAGGTGCATAAATGTTTGTTTTTTGTTTTTGTTACTAGGGATTGAACTCAGGCGTACTCAACCACTGAGCCACATCCCCAGCCCTTTTTTTGTATTTTATTTAGAGACAGGGTCTCACTGAGTTACTTAGTGCCTCTTTTTTGATGAGGCTGACTTTGAACTTGCGATCCTCCTGCCTCAGCCTCCTAAGCCGCTGGGATTACAGGTGTGCACCACCATGCCAAAGGTGCATACATGTTTGAGGAATCAAAATAAACGTGCTTCTTCCCTTTAGCTCACTGGGCTCTTCTCTCCCCAGGAAACTCTGGATTCAGGAAGGACCATCTGCCTTCATGAAGGGAGCAGGCTGCCGGGCTCTTGTCATAGCACCCCTCTTTGGGATTGCCCAGGGTGTCTATTTCATTGGAATAGGAGAGCATATCTTAAAATATTTTGAGTAGCTGCATCTGGATCATAGTCCCTTATTTGCTACCACCTCTCTAGCCTGTTTCACTAGTCTAAGTGAAGGGTACGGGGTAAAGGTGGCCCCCACATTGTATTTTGGCCTCTAACTTGTAGTGCTACCTCAGTCTCAGAAAAAACAACCCTATTTTAATAAGGCAGGTTCAGTGTATCCTTTTTCTCCCTTTATGAAACCTACATTCATTTTCTTGCTACCAGGGACCCTCAGAAACACCTGATCACATAATTCTTAGTACTATCACCTAGTACTTAGTACTATTCTTAGTACTCACTTTTGAATTACAGACCTTCACAGACAGTAAAGACAGAGGGGCTGTTTCTGCAATTTAACATTTCTATTTCACAAACTTATTATACTTGAGTCAGTTTGAAGACTTAGTTTTGTTAAATAATTTAGTTAGTCCAAGCACTGATGATGAAGAAAAGGAGGATGAAGTCCAAGAGCTGAGGTACAGCTCAGTGGTAGAGCACTTGCCTAACGTGTGAGGCCCTGGGTTCCATTATCAGCACCACAAACAAGAAAAGTCCAATGGGGACAAAACCAGCACCTTGGTTGAACCAGGCACCCACTTGCACATCACAGATGGCTAAGTGGACCTAATTGAATAGCGTGGTCAAGTCCAGACAGCCATCCTGCCCCAAAATCCTTCTCCTGGAGCATGGATTCTCACAGACCTTTCCCAATGGCTGTACATGGGGACCATATGAAATAAAGGTGAATGGTTAAAATCTTGTCTTATAGTAGTGGATGTAGGAGACAGGCTGTAAGAAGTAGTGTCTATAATCTTTCCTTCTGTATCCAGTTTAGAACTAAACTAGTTTCTAGAGCACTACAGCAGGTCACTACCACTCTTCAAACTGTTACTCCTGTCATGGGAATGGAGAATAGTCAGAAGAACACTTTATTTTATGTTTAAGTCCTGATCCTCTCTACCCTTTATGTTGAGCTAAGTCATCTGTGACAAGAGTTCTTTTCATGGGCTTCAATTCCTTCCTCCATAGGGGGCTACAGAAATAATATCACAGAAATGAGGACAAGTCCTAATAAAGAAAAAATACCTATTCAAATAACTGGTATGTACATTAATCCCCACCTAACAAAACTTGGGTCAAGGAGGGAAGTGAATGGTGCTGAAATGGTCAGGCACAGTGGTCTCAGTTGAAAAGGGCTGCCCTCCAGACAGACCAAGTCAAAATGTCAGCTGTGCCACGACTAGCTACAAGCCCTTTGGGCAGCTCTCAGCTAAGGACAAAATACAGAATTGTTGAGTGGGAGGAAGGAAGAGAAAGATCTCTAAAAGGGTTTAGCCTAGCACTAAATAGTCTCCCCTTCTCCCCAAAAAAACTCTGCCCAAAGTAATAAAGTGATTTCCTCAATAAAGTTCTACAACCTATGGGCTGGGGTGTGGCCCAACTGTAAAGCATGTGCTTACCATTTGTGAGGCTCTGGCTTCCATATAACACAAAAAGCGGGGGTGGGGTGTTATATAACCCTTCAGAAGACAGGTAATACTGAACACCTGTTTGTTTACTGTGTGCGCCGGCTAATATGGAGAAGCTTCAAAGAACATGGTGATATTAGGTCTTGTAAAATGAGCAAGAAGCCCCAGAGGACTGGAGGGTTAATGATTCCAAGTTTTGACAGCTGTGAATTATCAAATGCTATAGGATTTTGGAAAATATTTCTAGGTTCCTCAGTACAATTTTTTCTTCCTTTCTTTTTTTTGGAGACAGGATTTCACTACATTGTTAAGGCTGACCTTGAACTCCTAGATTCAAGTGATCCTCCTGCCTCAGCCTCCAGAACAGCTAGGACTACAGGTGCTCATCACTGCACCCAATCTTCACTCTCTCAAACCACAAACTTGTAGTATCATTCATAAGACATTATAAATTATCTGAGCATAGTGGTGCACAACTATAATCCCAGCCACTTGGGACCTGAGCAGAAGGACTCTTAAGTTAAGGTCAGTCTGGGCAACTCAATGAGACCCTATCTCTCAAAAATTTTGTGTGTGGTGGCACATGCCTGTAATCCCAGAAACTTGAGATGATGAGACAGGAGGATCCCAAGCTTGAGGTCAGCCTGGGCAACTTAGTGAGACCCTGTCTCAAAATAAAAAGGGCTGGGGACTAACTCAGAGGTAGAATGCTTGCCTAGCATGTGCAGGTCCCTAAGGTTTGATCCCTAGCATGATACATGCAAAAATAAATTACAATTAAATCCACATAAATCTTTTGTTTTAATAAATAAAGAAAATTCATTGCTTAGATTTTAAATCACATTTACAGATGAAGAAAAATTCTAGGCCCAAAGAATACATGCCCCATACCTAAAGAGCAAGGATCACCATGCATATCACTGTTTAGATTAGGTAATTAGAACAGTGAAAAGGACAGGAGACTTGGTATAGTCCATGCAGTACCATCTGACCCCTCCTCTTCATGCTACAGAACCAAATAAAAGCTGTGGTATCTGAGACAAATTACTGTGGGTCCTGATCACACTTAGGAAACCTCCAGTTGTTAACATTAGGCCAAGGATGTTAGCTACAGAAGGATATCCACTGATAAATATAATAGCAGAACAACAAAGAAGAAGCTACATAGTAAGCTACATAGATGATCTTGCTTCTCAGAGGTACAGCAGTAGATTAATTTCACCTCCCAAGGGCTTAGTCCAAAAACTTCCTATTGGCATTTGCACCAAACAAGGCTCCTCGTACTTCAGGCATCATCTGTGAAGAAAAAAAATTAAGTGTCATCAATTGGGAGACTTGTCAAAAACCTCCCATCTTAACCACATCAAGAAAGTTATTAATCTCTAAATGGTTGAAGAGGCAATCACAAAGCTAAATGCACCACATCTGCCTTCACTTATATGATGCACTTTAACTGAACTAATCACAAATATGGGGTGCAGACTGACTGCTTACAAAAAAAAAAGTAAAAATATGAAAAATCTGAAGTCATTTCTAAGACCTGTTATATTGTGATCTAAGAAGACAGACCCATTAACATTATTACCTCATAATTCTGGATCATCTACATTTCTTTCTTACAACAAACATTTATTAAGTGCATTCTATGTGACAGAAGGAACCACACATAATATTTAAGATGTAAGTCTGTGCTGAAGCATTCCTTACATCAACTAACAATCCTTAGGATTTAACCTCAAACTTCTAAAGCTGTGCTATCTAATATGGTAGCATATTTGAAAAGTGTACTGGTGAGACTAAGGAATTCCAGGGACAGAACTCAGGGCCTGGTGCATGCTAGGCAAGCACTCTACCACTAAGCTGCACCCTCAGGCCCTAAGGTTGTAATCTTAATTTAAACATTCATGGCTACCATACTAGGCTACACACCTCTAATGTTTAAGTTACCAGAAGATGACACACAAGGACAAAGTGCTTTGGCTATGAAACAAGGAAGCAACCAAGTTGGCAGTCCAGAGGAGATTAGCCCAGCATTGTACAGCAAGTGGGATTTTCCTGGTTTGTTTCCTAGAGTTCATTTGTGCAAACATGGAAAGATCTGAGTAGTCAGCAGACGTATAATTCCTTTAAACAAGTATTTACTTGTTTCGTGGATAAAGAACTCGGCATAAATGGGCTAAAGAGATGAACAGACACTTCTCAGAAGAAGATATACAACTGATCAACAAATATATGAAAAAATGTTCAACATTTCTAGTAATTATAGAAATACAGACCAAAACTAAGATTTCATCTCATGCCAGTGAGAATGGCAGCTATTATGAAGACAAACAAGAATAAATGTTGGCGAGGATGTGAGGGGAAAGGTACACTCATACATTGCTAATGGGACTGCAAATTGGCACAGCCAATCTGGAAAGCAATATGGAGATTCCTTAGAAAACCTGGAATGGAATCACTATTCGACCCAGCTATCCCACTCCTTGGTCTATACCTAAAGGACTTAAAAACAGCATACTACAGTGACATAGCCACATCAATGTTTATAGCAGCACAATAACAACAGCCAAACTGCAAACAACCTTGATGTCCTTCCATAGATGAATGGATAAAAAAAACTGTGTTATATATACACAATGGAATATTACTCAGCAATAAAAGAGAATAAAATTATGGCATTTCCAAGTAAATGGATGGAGTTAGAGAATATCACGCTGGGGTTGGGGTTGTGGGCAGTGGTAGCACGCTTGCCTAGCATGCATGAGGCACTGGGTTTGATTCTTAGCACCACATACAAATAAATAAAATGAAGGTCTGACAATAACTAAAAAAATAAAAATAAAAAATAAAAAGAATATCACGCTGAGCGAAGTAAGCCAATCCCCAAAAACCAAAGGCGAAATATTTTCTCTGATTAAGTGGATGATAATCCGTAAGGACGGGGCAGGGGGTGGGAGGGATGGGATGAGTGGAAGAACTATGAATTGGCCAAAAGGGAAGGAGGGGAGAGGAGGGTATAGGAGGATAGGAAAGATGGTGGAATGAGACGGACATCATTACCCTAGGTATTTGTATGATTGCTTGAATGCTTTGACCCTACTTGTGTACAACCACAAGTGAAAAACTGTGCTCCATTTGTGTACAATGAATTGAACAGCATTCTGCTGTCATGTATGAATGATCAGTACAAGTAAATTAACAAATAAATAAATAAAAAGAATCCTAGATAAATAGAACCCTGGTTCTGATCCCATATGAGTCCTATTTCCTCAGTAAATGCTGCTGCATGCTGAATCCTTATTCTCTAAGAAAAAGTAAAAAAGTGGAAAGTGACAAATACCAAATACCAGTACATGGACATGTGTTCTCTGCACCACTTCAAAGAACAGTAGAGCAGGTAACAAGAAGTTTTCCCACGCTCACCTGCTGGGCTATGAGATCCAGCCGGCTTTCCAGGGTGTTGGAAACCTTTATTTTACGATCCCCATTATAGATCTCAACTCCACCAGCTCTATAACAAACACAAGAAATAACAATTTTTACAGATTTGAAGAAGACAAAAACACATGGTTTGCTTACATCATTCTCTGAGAGGAAGGCCGCTTGAGGGCGTGGTGTGTGCAAAATGATGAACAGGCTTGATGTTAATTCAAAACACTTCTGAGGGGCTAGGATTGCCTGGCACAGGCAAGGCACTGGTTTCAATCCTCAGCACCAAATAAAAATCAATAAAGGTATTGCATCCATCTATAACTAAAACAAAAATATTTTTAAAAAATGCTTCTGAGGAGTTCAGGTCTTTGTGGTGTTAATACAAGTGACTGCTCTGTGCCTGATTCTTATACAGCATCCAATTCTAACAGCTATCCCTTCCTAAAAAATGAAAAGGGGAAGATATTATCTCAATAGAGTCAACAGGGTCTATTGCTGAGACCAAGTCCTCATTAAAAAAAAAAAAAAAATTGGGGGCTGGGGATGTGGCTCAAGCCGTGGCACGCTCGCCTGGCATGCGTGCGGCCCGGGTTCGATCCTGAGCACCACATACCAACAAAGATATTGTGTCTGCCGAAAACTAAAAAATAAAAAAATTGAAAATTCTCTCTCTCTTTATTAAAAAAAAAAAAAAAAAAAAAAAAAATTGGGGGGGACATGGGAGAGTATACTTCGGATTGAACTCAGGAGCGTTCTACCTCTGAATGAAATACCCAGCCCTTTTTATTTAATTTTTGAGACAAGGTTCAGCCTGGCCTTAAACCTGCTACCCTTCTACGTCAGCCTCCCAAGTGTCTGGGATTACAGATGTGCACCACTAGGCCAACTGCATCTGAATTTTTAAAGTCCAGAGGCTGCTAATTACCAGGCAACATTGGTAAGGCAATACTATGTGTTCTCTGAAAGACACTCTGACTACATTCTGCCAAACCTCGGCCCAAAGCCACACTTCACTTACTATTCCTTTCTTCAGTTTTAGCACTTAAAGCTATAAAGTGAACAGGCCAAGCACCCTCTGAGAATGAAATTCATTTACTATATCACTTTATGGTATCAATTTTTTCTTGAAATTAGCAGGCTATCAGACAAGATTAGGAAAGGTTTTACAAACCTTCTTTTGAAAATTTTGATGGATAAGGGGGCCTTAATTATTTTTCTTGCACCTCCTTCCTGCATTTCCATTTGTTTCATCTAGTTTTGGTTTCTCTAAACAGCCTGTATTCTTCATTAGGATAGGATGGTTCCTTGCTAAAATCCTGACCCATTGTCTACAATACAATTCTTTGTCCCATTGGAGGAGTGAGG